AGATGGCTGCCACCTATGGGTCAGATGATTGTCTGCCACCATTAAGCAATTGGTAATTAAATATTATATTTTTGTCCTAAAAAGTGTAAAATTTTGGAAAAAGATTTTCACGAACATTAATTGTCACGCACAACGAGTCTGTGTGGAAAATGTCAGCTCGATTGGATCACGGGAAGTGGGTTAAAAAACGACCGAAAGATTTGCACGGTCCTAAGCAAGCAAGCGAACTTAATATAAAGGATTAAAACATTGAATAAGTTTCTGAAATCCGCCTTAGTCCAACCAGGAGCTGTACAATGGGGCGCACCACCGTGTATCGGGAGATCGTGTACGGTGGGGCAAAATGTGGGTACGACTGCCTCTTCCAACATGGCTGGTCAACGTGGAAGAGTAGACCAAATACCCTCGAGAATTCGCTGCAGTGGAGGCCCTTTCACCAGCAATGGCGTGATGAGCAAAGCAAGTCTGCACCTTGAGTTCCTCAGCTTGTTGATATATACACAATCCAGTGTATGGAAACTAAAACACTTAATGTTGCACTGAAAGTTGTAAAAGTATAAAAGCACATGATAATTGGTTTTTTACCCTTCTATCTGGCAACAAAACTGACACCTTTTTTACAAGGAGTCACGTTTATATAGACCACAATACCTGCAGTCATAATGCAAACAAAAAACATAACTCTGATAATGTGCACTGTCCTTGAAGTTAATTGGTCCACACTCGAGACAGCTTGGTGCGCCTTTTGGCGTCATCTGGTCCAACCCATGTGAGACTAGGCTCTAAAGAAAGCTGTCTCGGGTGTGGACCAATCAACTTCAAGGACAGTGCACATTATCAGAGTTATGTTTTTTGTTTGCATTATGACTGCAGGTATTGTGGTCTATGTAAACATGACTCCTTGTACAAAAGGTGTCAGTTTTGTTGCCAGATAGAAGGGTAAAAAAACAATTATCATATTTTTACTGGCAAATGAGGTTCCAATGGTATAAAAGCACAGTTTTTGTAATCTTTTCATGCTTGCTAGGCAGGTACGCTTGAGCATTTTCGTTTTGACCTTAAGTGCCAATCATGTATTGTATATTGTTGGTAAGAATGAGAACCCTGATGAAGTATAATCAGTGACATACAGATGAGCTAATGTGGCAATAATGATTATGTTGAACCATGACCATGAGCTGGCTGCAACTTGCATTGTAACTGGAAAATCACCCAAAATATAAATAATTTTGTAAAAATGAACTCATAGAAAGTTATGATACTAACCGCAACCCTCTTTTTTAAAGGACCTGTAGGTCTGAACTGCAGAGGATATCGTTTGGCAATAAAACAAAAGTTAACAAAACAAAATAGAATTTGTATCACATTGTTTCATGTTGTATACGTTTCTGGCCCCGAAAAATTCGTGGAAAATGAATGTGCAAATCTCACGGCAGCTGTTAGCTCTCTCAAACGCACGGTCTTTCTTGCCATTCACTCACAGTTGTTGCCATGCACAATACTCAGTCGCTCTGCAGACCTGGTAGGAAACGACATGAGGGAGCTGTGATCTAAATGGCAGTCTGGCGCGGGTGCACAATGCTGATAAAAGCTCACCGTGGGCCTTGTGAAACGTGATTTACACGGCGGACATTGCACACCGTGTCCTGTGTTACCGTCTTCTTTTTTTTCGGGCTGGTTTATTACTCGAGATTATTGTACATTTCGGGAGTCTTGAGAATGCAGGCTTTTAAAATGCCCCCTGCTGAACTCCCCCAACCCTATGCTGCTGCTGATGCGGTGGTGGTGGTGGTGCAGCGTTTAACGGCACAGTGTCCTCTGAAGGACAAAGGAGCACCGGCAGACCTCGCTTAGCGCTCAAGATGCGTTCCTGGCGGGGCGAAGTAAGAGCTGATCGAATCCGCGCTATAAAATGGGTCATTACGGTCGACAGGGTGGTCCAGATGTCGTGACCCCCCCCCCTCATCCTCCCACCCCAATTAATTGACTCCGAAAATGTTTTCATACCGCGTCAACCCATACGGTTTAGCCCGTATTCTTGTACAGGGAAATAGAGTTTTCAGGTCCGTACAGCGTACAGCCGTTTCAATGCGGACAAAAACGACATTGTCTCTGTGTTTGTGTTTCTCCCTTGTGATGGGACTTTGTAGGATGAACGCTGAGATTTATAAAGGGCACGGGTGACTAATAAGGTCTGAATTGGTCTGTAACAAGGTAGGGCACTGATAAGGGTGTTGACAGGTGTGGGTTTTTCCATTGCGTATACTTTTCTGTTTTAAATAAACCTCACTTTCATTTCATTGTAAGTCTTAGAGAATTAAACGGGGGTCACAAGACACTTGGACCACCCTGCAGAATGCATTGTGTCCAGTACAGCGCCCTCTGCTATAAGCACTACAGTACACGAGGACTTACTTGGGGTGTCTGTACTAGCGCTCATAATACAGCTGGTAAACATTATATCGTGAATAAAAAACAAAGTCATTATAACATCAGTATTATAGCGCCGTACTCACGCGTGCCGTTCTACCCCGGACGCCTTTCTCTCTATAGCAGCGGGTGCGAGACGGGTGATGGAGGGTCGCTTCTGGGCTCTCAGATCCGTGGGGGTCACCACCTCGAGAGGAGAGCGCCCAGGAGGAGCCCTCCCCCGTGGGTCGTCTGCGATGCCCTCGGTTCTAGATCGCCGTGGCGAGGTGTCTCTCTCCTTTTGTCGATGGAAGCCTGTTGACTCTCCCCTCTCCTCTCTCTCTCTTAACAGCCCCGACCTCGTGGGTGGGGTGGTGCTGGTTAGTTTTCTTCTTCTCTTCTCTCACCTGGATAAAATAAATCGATTTTCTCGTTCGAATTGGATCGTGGCCGCGTAATCGCGACAATTGAATCGCAAAGGTGGGGGTTGGCTGAGAGCGGCAGACGCTCTTATTGATCGAGCGAATGATGGGGTGTGTGGGGGGTGGGCACGTGTCCACGGGCAGCACTAGCACTCGTAAGCGCTTTGTAGAATTTTTTTTATTTTACTTAATTGTTTAGGGGAAGGAAAAACAAATTTCTTCTCGAGGACAAAGAGCGGCTATAGTGAATCAGCGTTCCTACTGGGAAGCGATGTCTCTGTTTGATGGGGAGCACGGTGAAAACTGAAGTTTGAATGCATATAATATTTAAAATCTAAATTCTACCAGAAGTGGTTTTAAAATGTACTTTTGTTAAAATAAAAGAAAAGCAATCGCTAGTACTGCCGAGTACTCCATTGTAATAGCTAAAACAATGGCTGAGCGCTGCTTAATACAGATAATAATGTTAAAGATAATAATTAAATTATGAATATACCGATGGTGTTTTTATGATGACAATAATGATGATTGTTTATGTGGGAGAAAGATGATTATAATAATGGTGATTATTATGACGGTGATGATGGCTTTAAATGTGCAGATTAGTCATCAACGCCAATTTTGTGGCCAGCCACCAACCCTTGCATCCAAAGCCGTGGATTACCGATGCACACACCACACTCGGCACACATTTAAAGGCAAAGCCACCCAGAAAAGGCTCACACATCTCTCTGGATCCCACTCACCACCACTGATGATGATGATATACCCATGGCTGGGAATCAAACTCAGGTTCGACGTGAAGTTCTGCACCCCAATCTTCCACGGCTGGCTACGTACGGTGCGAAAGACGTTCAACATACAACATCCATACACCTCCCCGTGAATTATGTGAATTGCCTGTAATTTATTGGTGTCTTTGTTTTGTTCTTATTTATCTTGAGTACAGCCCTGCAACCTTCTTCATTAAATCAAGTTATTCACAGTGACAATGGGATTTTCTTTTGTTAAAGTGCATGGGAGATATCAGGTACTGGAGTACATTTAGCCAATTTTTCTAGTTATCGGTCGCTATTATTTGTCTAAGTTTTATTGTTTTCAGGTCTAACAAGGACGTGCGAGTGGAAACGTATTAGGTACTGCTGGTATCCTGAGTAAAGTGCAACACCATTCAATTATCGTTACTGCTGTAACCATGTGCACTTAGCATTGACACGAGTCATTTCTACACTTATTGTATGCAAAGAATCAACACTGCTGCTAGGAATTAGTATCACCGACTGTGATAGTGGTAATTAAAGCCATAGCCATCACCATAACGCAGCACTCCATCATGATCGGGGAGATATGGGACCGGCTCCAAGGACACTAATGCTCAGTTGTTTCTAGATTCATGACACACCCCAGACTTACCACATTTGCGGCTATAACTAAGCTGTGTTATGTCCGAGGCTGTGTCTATGGTGTATTTGCATGTGATCTGTGATATGATAGTTGATACTGTTTTTGAGCACTATCCTATTTGCAGTAAGTTTTGGCATGGGTTTCGTGTAGTTTGTATTTGCTCTGGTTTGACTATCCCCACTCTGTAGTGTCCTTTAACTGCCACTAGCCACTGCCGACCTTGTTGGCTGCGGTCTTTATAAAACAGCTGTTTAGCTCAGTGGGGCCTTGCCGGCTGAAACGAAGTCTTAACTGAAATGTATCATTGTCCTCTCGGCAGAGCTCGTGAATTCCGCTTTGCTTCACAAATGGGGGCATTGTCGTAGTATAAAGTTCAGTGCCTGGATCGCACGTTGTTAACAACTGCACTTCATGAATGCACAGGTTTCTGGCTCGTATGCACGCGCCATCGGGAAGGCACTCAGTATTAATGAGATGAAAATGCAGTGTGCCAACTCCCTTGGCTTCTGTTGGCACCGACGCTGGCAGTTACACTTTCAGGGGTGGCATTGATTTTCTGTGCATGACAAATGTTTACGTGCCAAGGCCGTCCGGTGTGTCTGATACAAAACATCACGAATATCGAACGTGTGCTGGCAACCCACTGATAAAACAATGATGCACATCTGAGGCAGCCTTCATGATACGTACCAAGCTGGGGTTGATTCATGAACAAAAAAAAAGGCGTCACGGTGGGAAATTATCACTCAAGGACATTTTTTGCATGTAAATTTTATATACAAATATATTTCTTGATAATCAGAGGAATACAAAAAAAGCATGAATACAAGATTGTATACAGTACAAAAGCATCCACTGCACGATCATGTACATTATTGCAAATAGCAGCAAATGTTATCAATTCCATGTCTCAACATGTTAACAATTTATTTGCGGTAATATACGTCACTGTACAAAACGGGTTTGAAAATTCTCCGTTGTAAGGTCACAAACGCCTGGTACAGATTAGTTTGTGAGTTTATATTGCCTTTACACAAGTGGTTAATTGTTTGCAATTCATACAAAAACATATAAGAATGTTAATACTATTTGACAGGTTTTTGTTTTCACAAATGGCAATGGGATTGCGAGATGCAGCTTACAGTGGTTTGCACGATTGAAACGTGGCTCAGAAATAGCACTGTTCTGCAAATCTTTCTGCTACCGTACAGAAATGGTGTGACCCAAGTGGAACTCTGCGGTAGGAAAATGCGCCCCTCCTATTGCGTGGGCTCACATTTTCCGCCTGCGCAGCTCAGATTAAGGGAACTGCCTGCAGACACTGAAGGAACGATCGTCGTGCTCAGATTCATTCGGTTCTCTTAAATCTAAATGTCCAGTATTAGAAGAGTTAGTCGCAAATTAAAAAAAATATATATATTTTTTAAATGTGCTTGGATATTTACATTCACAAGTTGACATTTGCATATGACACAGCAACCATAATTGGCTTCATTGGTGGCTTTTTCAGCACAATTTTGGAGTCTTTGTCATTTTTATTGTTAACCGCAACAACACCTTTGCACTCCCCTGCACTTCCAATGCTCTTTCTTTCTGGCTCCTTGCCTGAAACATTTTCAATCTTCGGTTTGGGGGCGATGCGAGGCTTGGGGCATAATTTGGAATTTGAGTTATTGCTGTTTGCAGTGTTCCACCCTCTTGGCTCTGTCGTTGGAGGTTTTAGTCCGAACTTTTGAGCCACCATTTGTCTTGGCTTGGGAGGAAGCTGGGGTGCTTGCTCTGTGTTTTTAGCATGTGATGGAGGAGATTCCGTCGACTGAGTTTTTTGTGGGTTCGAGGCTGGCAATGGTGCGGGAAAGCTGTCTATTGGACTTGTAAACGGTTGCTCATTATATGCATGTTCAGGCTTTGCCTGCACCTTCCATGCATCTCCCTTTGATCTGAAGAGCTTCATCATAGAGAGAGGCAGTGGGTTTCTCAATTCCTTCTGGTTCGTCATAAATGTGCTCTGGTGTGCGCTCCTGCCTTCTAGACGAAGGAGCCTCTGTATTCTTTTGTTCAACCTTTTCATAGGGATCAGAATACACAGGCTCTGGAGCAGACTCTTGCTGCTTGGCCACAGCCAACAGACCATTGCTGCGGAGCTTGCCAGTCACACACGGGTGAGTGTTTTCAGTTTCGGGATCGTGGTAATGCGATGATGACGACGACGATGCCGAGGCTTTGTCGTCCAGTTTAATGGTGAGCATCAGAGAATCAGCCGGGTCAGCGTAAACGTCCTGCAGTGGCTCCAGTCGAGCAAGGCAGGGATCCAGCAGGGGAGGTCTGGGCAGAGGAGAGCGAGGAGGTGTTGAGCCTGCTGATGATGATGACTTTGCTGTTGGCGACATGCCGGGCAACGATGGTGAAATGGGGAAAGGTTTGACAACAATTGACTGAGGCGGAGCCATGCGTCTGTCGTAGTTCTGGGAGCTCTTGACGAGACTTAACTTCGCAACTTCTTCATCGGCAAATAAGCAAGCGAATGCATGAGGTGTCTGCTTTGGGCTGTCTTCTTTCTGCTTGTTTGAAGATTGCATGATGCCACCATCTTCAGGTTTCAGGAGGTACTCCGATAACTTCGATTTATTATTTGCAGACCCAGATCGTGAACAGCCACTGACCTCCTCAAGCGTCAAATGTTCCTCCAGAGGCTTGGTTTTAGAAGCGGATGTCTGCCAATGTCTCATCCCCATCTCTGGCAACTTTGGTGCATCTTCAGGTGGCCGGACTCTGACAGAAGATGACCTGGGTCCAGCCTGTCGCAAAGATAGAGCTTCCGGTTCAAAGATAATTGGAGTAAAGGTTTCTGCATTGTCAAAAGCAGGTCTTCCTTTCATTGCATGTTTGGGGAAGTCTGCCTGCTCTTTGGCATTTGCTCCATGCTTAGGGTGGTTTGGTGGGATCGCAGGGGCATCCGTGCCTTCCATAGAATGCACCCGATGTCCGTATTGGCCGGGCGGAGTCCCAGGAGTACCGTCAAACATCTCCCTTTTGGAGTTACCCTGCGGACCGGGTGCAGCCTCTGCACCTTCTCCCTCACCCATGCTTGTGTAGAGTTCTGAGGACCAAGGGCAGTGAACTGCAGCAGATTGCACGTCTCCCTCTGTGTAGTTCTGGCTGTTTCGGTTCAGCTTCGTCTGGTTGATGGACTCTTCAATGATAGTAAAGATGTCGTTTCCATTCTTGGTATCAAACATGAATGTCCCTGGGCCAGAGTTGCACCTCCTCCCTGCCTCAAATGTGAATGAAGTCTGCAATAAAAGTGTAAGAAAAAAACAATTATATTGAGCATACCATTTTGTTAATGTACCTACAGAGGTATGTATGTTTAAGAGACTGAAAGGAAAATAAATTATACGTACAGTAAACCTTGGATTGCGAGTATAATTCGTTCTGGAAACGTGTTTGTAATCCAAAGCACTCGTATATCAGTTGTGATCACGTGACGCTCGGCAGACAAAGCGTATACACGTGCTAATCATATTGCAAGACCTCGCTCGTTTATCAAATTAATATTTACTTAAAAACTTTGCTCGTCTTGCAAAACACTCGCAGACCAAGTTACTCGCAATCCAAGGTTTTACTGGATAACAATGAGCATATGGTGTGATTCACTACAATGACATTTAAGTGCAATTCGAATTGAATTTCATATTATAGCAAAACGATATCAACATTCATAATTTTTGATTCACGTATTATTTTCATTCGAAGGAAGCAATTTCCAATCAGTTGAGTTGTCCCAGAAAGAATTAACATCGAACGCCGAATAAAATTGCAAGTCAATTTAGGGGAGGAAAAAAAAAGCGAACACGAACCTTGTCGCGGCCGAATCTTCGCAGGAGTTTGTAAGGCCACACGTAGATGGCATTTCCACTGGCGGGGTCTTTCAGAGTGAGGTCTTCCTTGTCGCCCTTGAGCTTGTAGGAGCCGACAAGACCGCATCGCTCAGAAGCCTCTGTCTTGTGAATGCTGACCCAGTACTCATTGGCTGAGAAGGACAGATTAAAAACATCCACATGCGTGATTAATTATGTGCACGCATATCTGTTTTACCCGTAGTGTCTGAGGCATGTACGGGATTTTACGATTTGTTCGATGCTTCACCATCTCAGTGGAGAAACTTGCATCGCAGCAGTTCAACACAGTACCGTGGTTGAATATTCAGCTTCAATACCGCCTCCTTATAATGAACGGGAAGTCTTTCGCTCACATCGAGGACTTGCCATTCATTGAACACCTGTCATGGTACATTGCCTTGTTTATTTGGGGTCCCGAGCAAGGTCCTTGTAGGCTGCAGAATGCATCAGCCAGGGTGCTTACTTGTACCCCATTGTGAGAACACATCTCTCACGTCCTTGCATCGTTGCATTGGCTTCCCGTCTCTAAATGAATGGGATTAAAGATCACGTAGCTCGTATTTAAAGTCTGATGAGTGCTCGCTCCGCTTTATATTCAGCAGCTAATTCAAAACTGTGCCCTTTCAAGGTCTTTAAGATCTGCCGATGGTGCCCCTTTTACATATGAGCTTCGAACTCTGCTGCGTTGTTGGGATGATTTCGTATTTTCAATGGTGGCCTCCCTGGGTGTGGAACGTTCTACTGGTGGTCCTCTGGGAGTGGAGCTCGCTATTGGTGGTTCCCTGGGCGTGGAACTCGCGACTGGTGGAGATCAGGCTCCACAAAAGTATTGAGATTAAAGTCCCAACTTAAAACACATATTTCTAAAGCAGCTTTCCACTAATCGAATTTGTTCCTTTGACTATTATTTTGCCACCCGGCTCTTTCCTTATAATCTCTGTCCTTTTCACGCACGGTGCCTTGAGGCATTGTGAAAGATGCCTCGTAAGTGCAAATTATTATTATCTTTCATCGAAAGCAGCAATTTAAGGGAGGAAATACACCCTCGTAATTTAAAGCATTCAAGCATTTTCGTACCCAATGTGGAGAAGTTACACTCTAAATTACTATTATTCTAAAACACTTCTGCTTGCTAATAATCACAAAGACACATTATAGAGTTGTTTAAAAAATAATCACCCATTATCAGCCTAAAGTTGGGTTGTTATGTGGAAATATTTCAAAAAATGTACGTGTAAAAAATCAATGTACTGTACCCTATGTATAAATGATGTAACATTACAAAGGTCCAAGGGAAATGATCATAAAGTGTATTTTTAGTGTGTGCCCAGGAAATTTTTAAATGGTAACTCTAGCAGTAGCAGCCACTGACTGGGGCATGCCGAGGTGAACGTGGCGAAGAGATAAGGGCACTGCGAGAGACTGTGACCGAGGAACTTGTGCAGATATCTCGAACCCACATGCAATGTTCCACTCCGATACAAGAGGCAACCCTCAAGCACACACCACCGGCCTGCTTTTTTCTCAGTGCTTCTATTTCTCCGAGCACAATGAACCATCGTTAATGTTTTACTTCTGCACGCTTCGTCTGCTCAGATATATACGCCAATAATGTTCGACCAAGTACACTGATTTTTGTACGTTTGTGAGTATAGTGTGCAAATATCTATGGTACTAAATACATTTGCGCGTACACAACATACCATGCACGTGCTAGGGGTGGAACCATTCACCCCGGGCCCTTCTAATAATGTTCGTGATTGAGGTTCACTATTCGATTCAAGAGTTCGTTATGTTTTGTCACATTGTGGTGACTTGTAGATTGATCTGAATAATCAAGAGAATCGATAAATCGACGCATCGTTCCACCCCGATAAAAAAAACCACACAAGTTCATGAAACGTAAGGTGTTATGTAAAACACCGTACACTTTCAGTAGTGTTATATGCTTGCTGCGCCGTGTGTGTGTTTTTTGCAGCTTTCGTTAATAAAAAAAAGCACGCATTGGCACCCTGATAGGCGCGTGGCTTTCACAAAGGAACTGCGTCAGTTTTTCCACCGGCAGGCTTTGCCAAAGTCGAACCGGGCACCGCTGATAAGGGGCCCGCACGATACTTCCATTCACAACCTCGTCGCCTGCAGGCACACATCCACCTACGCATTGTTTGGTTCAGGTATACACGTCTGAGAGTTCCCTGAGCTTTGAATACGCACCACAGCAATACCTTTGTATTCTTGGTAGAATGCCAAATGTTTAACTCTTTGACATCTGGGCAGTGAGTGAAGGTGTAGCGTACCATGAAATTGCTGCGAACGTTAAACTCATTAACCGCACGTGCAATGTGGTTACATGTTTCTACTAATGCTGCTCCAATGACGGTGGGCAAACATTAAGATGCATGAAATCTGGCTCGTGTGTGGATCAGAGATAATTCTTGTGTCTGGTTACCAAAGAAGCAATGATAAAATCGTCGGTTTAAACCGCTCGGTTTCTATTTACAATCATCAACAAACAGTTGGGCCAACGTTCGGTTGACGTTGGATCAATGTTGCGCGTTTATTGGGTTTAGCCATCAAAGTAAGGTAACGTGGGTGTCTTTGCTTTCAAATGAATGTCTTTATAGAGTGGGGACAGCACACTTGTCGTCCAGGATCAGTCCCTTCATGAGTTATTGCCGAATCTCTGCTAAGTTGGATGATGGATGCTAAATAATGTGCGAGATTTTTGGGAATGTGGAAGCATCAAGACGGCAGTGCGACATCTTGTGCCAATGAACAGAGTTACGTATGTTTAAGAGACACACAGTTGAACAAGCTATTCTTTTAACGGAGTAAAACTTCTGTATGCGTATTTATTACAATAGGTTGATATCTTGTTGTGTATGCATCCGTGTATAAAGGTATGCAATATTTATGAATACGCAAACATGGCATGTGAATTAGCACGTACAGCCCCATACATAATGTATGCATTATATAACGCGTGCCGCGTGTAAAATTTAGTAATCTGCACAATGTGTTGCATGTCATATATATTAAAAAAACTAATATTTTTCTTCCTTGTTTTTAATCTCCAGAACAACTGCCTAAATGTTACGAGGTGAAAGGTAAAAAAAAAACACAGAGTTTTCCATTACGGTATAGAATTAGTCTTGCACTACTATTTCTTCAGACAGTTAATCCATTGCAGAGCCATTCTATTACTAAAAACACACGCTGCTGAGCATGCACACACACACACACGCGAGGCCTTTCACCACATTTTAGTCGCTTATATTCTATCACCCCCCCCCCGCTCCACAATGGAAGATTTCACATGACAGATTAAATGCGCACGCATCAAGTAGCCGTGAAATGCGCGACGCCGACGGGGCAAAACGAGAGGAGGAGGAGGAGGAAGTCGATGATCTCCACCCCTGCTGCGCGCGCACGCAAGCGTCCACGATTTGACGGCCACACACAAAAGCCACCACCGTGCCACGGTGCCTCGGGTTTCCACGTTTCAACCGCACGATGAGGACATGCGCACTTCCTGTTGATGTCTGCCTGCAAACTGCACGCGCGTCTCGCCAGCGCCACGCATGTGTGTGCACGCCGCATGCTTGCAGGTTGCAGGCTTTTGTTTTGTGAGCGATGCAGTTGACACCCCCTCCCCCTCTACCCCACGTCAGCCGTGTTACTGACAGGATGATGTTACGGGTCAACGCGTCTGCTTGTGGGTTTGTCTCGTGGTTCATTTAATGCCCCGTGGAAATGTCAACACAACTTGATAATATAGTTATGCAAGCTTTGCGATATACTGCATCTAAAGCCATCCTGAGAATGTTACTTCGGTATACAGGACTATTCTTTATATCCTGCCATAATATATCATCTGTCCATCTGATAAACACTCACGCAGTTGCTAAAATGTGGGAAACATTACACTGTATAGTACTGCAGTAAGTCGATCTATTAGTCTGGTTATCAGTATTAAATATTGCAGGTCTGCTGGGTGTTAACATTCAACTTGTATATAATTGATGCTGCAATGTTGAAAACAGGTTGTTCATGCAACTAGTTAAAAAAAAACATTGGACTGTAGAAAAGTTGTTAAATAATTAATTATCGTAAAGTCATCAAGCACATCTCGGCAGGAGGCCAACGATCGGATGCCAAGCTTAGTGTTCTCCACTCCAATCTCACGGAGCAGTCTTCCTCCAGCGCACAATATTTAATAATTTCCTGAATCCAGTTTTATGCTTTTTGCATCTTTTCTTGTTCACATCTAAAACCATCCACTGTGACGCTCACACTGCCCAAATCATTCTGACAGAGTGTATCTATCCACTCATGTCATTGTCCTCTGTTACCTCTATTTTACCTCGACGTGTCCGTGCTCTTTTTATCCTCTGTGTGAATCCATTCATGATGTCCACGCTATCTCAGCAGAGCCCCCCTTCAACAAATGCTTCCGTACCCGTATGTGAAAATGAGCAAGATTGGGGCTTTGTTATCCGATAATTGCATGAAGGACTACTAAAATGAAATCAGTATCCTACAGGATGTGTGGTTTATTGTCAAGGTAGGGGGCATTCTGCCCTCTGGACCAGAATTCAATCAATGCCCCTTATCTGCACTGAAAAGCACTGCGTTTCAGGGGCTTCCATATTTCAGATGAGACATCAAACGGGAGTTTCTGCCTGCTCGCTGGACGTTATTATTAAAGATCTCTTGACACGTTTCATACAGAACGGCCGTGTTACCCCTGCAATCTGGGTTAAAATCTCAATGTGGGTCAATAAAAATATTGTTCCTGCCTTCATTTTCTCTATCTGGCAGAATGCCAGAAATGAAGTGCTGCCCTGTAGACTGTGGCTCTAAACCTTGTGGCCATGCTCTACATTCCAAATGATCTATTAAGCACATCTTAAAACATGACCATACTACAATATATTAAGTGGAACGTTTAGCCCGAGTTACCGGCAGTAGCTGCACGTCTTGCTACAATAAAATTGATATACTCACATATTTGGAAAGTTTTAAAGCCTGACCTTAAACATTATAGGTTAGGAGTCAGATTTAACGCCATTTAGCAAAACAAATGTCATAGTCCTAATCCCAAACAGGATATTGCAATATCTACAGAAGCTGCCACACATGACATTGGTGTACCACAAACAGAGTGTGCAATTAGTCACAGTAGACATTTTAAGAATGCTGTCTGTCGGTCGTTTCCACGTGAGTATTCTTCAGTTTATGAGGACATTCATATTATTCATTGTGAAATTAATTACGGTATACTATTCTGTTCCTGTGGTTTTTAAGTCAAAAGTCACACCAGCTCCCCTGCCCAAACAGTGCAAGTGGTGATCATTTCAGTGGATGGCCCTGACCAGTGGTGGAAATTCCACATTACTACACTGAGGACGAGTCACAGATAGGACAGACACTTTTGGCACTCTTAAAATCACCAGTTGGAGGCTAAGTTTCAGTTGAAGTCCTGACGAGCAGGATCTATTGGAGCTAGCAGCCTTTCGACTGTGACACGAATCCAGTGGGCGATTTTGTTATTGTAGCTGCTTCCTTTTGAGTCGGCCGCCCAGACTGAAGAGGCAGAAGAGTAAAACGGCACATTTGCAAAGCCTGAGTTTCTCACCGGAGTCTCGGCAGCCGTACAAGCTGTTCTCTTCCATCTCCATTTGGGCCGTGCTCATTTCCATTCTGAGTGCATCGCTTGACATTTTCTGCAAAAGGTTAAAACAAAAAGCTCGTTGTTAGGGTGTGTGTAATTAAAAAAAGCTCCTCACAAAAACAACAACAACAACCCCATCATCCTTTTCTCACTGCTGCCCCGTCTACTGTTTTATATTCATCACACATTGGGGGGAGAAAATGCCATTTAAAAAAGATGGAAAAAAAGCCTTTTAACGTGACCTTATTCGTTGTTGTTTTTTCACCTCACACCACAAATGTAAGGTCAATGGAAAATTTTGAAACAACAAAAACCTCAGAACACATTCATTCAGTTATTGAGCACTGAAGTTGCAAAAAAGGCAAGCGTGGAAAATTTAGTTTTTGTGCCACCCCCCACAAAACTCGTTCTTAATTCAGGATTAGCAACATTTGGTTCAAAGTTGCTCGTGTTGATATCCACTGGCTGTTGCACATAATGCCGCTTGTGTGACTTTGTATTTTTATTTTCTCCCAAGCCACATAGTTGAACAAGCTATAGAATAATATACGCGGTGTCCCATTGCGTAAAACATAATTTGCACCTGAACAAAAACTATTTCACCATCCCCCCCCACCCCACCCCCCCCCCCCCATTAATTTCCAACCCTCACGTTTCATTATCCTCAAGCAATGTGAAGCCGCGTGTATCAATACGTTTTTGACCGACATCGACCCACGCAAGTCAATCTCAATTTAGCATCGAAGCGCCGCGCATCGATGTTTTACATCGATACGCGGCACCACCACCAACGCGGTAATAGAACTGCCCCAGAGGGGAGCATCAGCGGCGGCGTTGATGCGGCGGGCGGTGACCCCCCCCACCACCACTCCACCACTCCCCCACCAAGGTCCGTACCGGGAACGCGAGCTCGCAGAGCGTGCGGACCCAGGCGGCCGCGTCGGCGAGCTCGGCCGCGAAGACGAAGTGCCGCTCGGCCGTCTCGAGCAGGAACGCGACGCACAGCCTGGGCGCCACCTCCAGCGGCGCCGCGCGCACGCTCACGCAGTCGGCGAGGCGCAGCACGCGCTTGTCGGCACGACGTGCCGCCCTGTCGGTGCCCTTGTCCGACGTGCTGCCGCTCTCCTTGCTCTCGTAGTACTCGAGGCGCGCCACTCCCGAGCCGCTGTTGGCGTACAGCATGGCGCGGTTCTTCTTCCAGCTCTTCTGCTCCGGGGGGAGAAACGAAGCAACGGAGCACAGGGGGGGCAGGGTGGGAATTAGACACCGATGCCTTTGTGCACCGTTTCACGTCATGCTGCGTAGGTTCGGTGTGCTTGTGTTCAAGAGCTGTAGCAATCATTCTTAATTGCTGTATATATCAGAATGTGTGTTGAAACTGGAGGAATCCGATGAGCTATGAAGATCATTTTCACAGATGTCCTGTATGGGTGGTTAAGAACGTTACAACAATCCAAAAAAACACGACATGAGTGGAAAGTATAGGAAAGGTGAAACATATCACTTGAAAAATATACGGATTAAACGAAACTATGTTTTGTTATCTTACCAGGTAAAGCCCACTTATCTCTTTCAGAAGCAACATGGCAACCAATTATTAGCTCAACGAAGTGGCTTACCGTGTGGACATTTTTCGCAGCAGAATTATCGAAATCTCAATATATAATAGGCAAGGTGAGGTTATGCATTACTGCCTAACCACCATTATTCCCATGCCAGCTTTCTTGGAGGCTTCTGTGCTGTTTGCCGGAACTGCAATAAGTCCCAGGGCCTACTACTCATTACCCCAGTTGACGCTTCATTTGAGGATGATTATCCAACAGCCAGAACAGGATTTGTTTTCTATGAAGCCGGAGATGTTGAGAAAAGTTTGGTGACAGCTGACGCAATTGCACTTGAGAGTGCTCACAATATCCCACAGGCTCTGGGGTTGTTTTAATGAAGGTCTGGCTTAGTGTGTGTACAGTTGAAATTCTTTCGCACCGTACGTAGCCAACCGTGCTAATCAGAGGTGCGCGGGAAGGACATCAGACTGTACAAATTACTCTACAAATATAGCCTCAACGTTGACTTTCGATTAGTTATGCTCACTTATTGAAAGTCATAAACAATGGAAATGCTTGCCAAACTTTCTCGTACGAAAATGTATTGCATGGATGTTGGTGGCCTCGTGTAATTCCAAGTGAATCATCGCCACCAGGTGGCACCAGCTTTGCTAAACCTTCAAAGCTTCCACTATTGGGGTTGACCTCAATGTTTTACACGGCTCTCATCACAGTTTATTATCCTCAATTACAACTCGAAATCCCGTTTTCTTTTTACATTACCTTAAACGCGCACTTGCCTTATGAAGGTAGTGTGAAAACTTAGCCATTATTCTGCGGCGAAATGCAACAATGATTTACATTTTGGCCTGATCCATGTTGGGAAAAGCTATCTTCAAAGTGAATTGAAAGGCGATTAATTATGTAGCCGCAGATATGTTCTGCTCACACACAAGCAAGCGCATTTACTTGAGTAGATAGCTCAATGCATATCATTGGATGTGACGTCTGGGTCAGAAACATGGACAATGAGAAGGAAGTGGAAGATCAAAAGTGCACATGGAGAGATGCAAGCTCTGGATTACGCTGAGAGACAGAGAGGGATTACATAGATTGGGGAACAAACAGAGGTTTAACTGTTGAAATAAATAAACACTCAAAACACATGTGTCACTAACGCTGCCTTAAGAGGATACATATACAGGGTGCTTCAAAAAAATGTTGACAAACTTTTGAGAATTTGCAACAATACCACGAGAAATGTGCCCTCGGGCTTCTGGATATCACCTGGAGAAGATTGATGGCGAACAAGTGGAGACTTTAACTTTTTGAAGCTAATAATAATAAAATAATAATAAGTGAAAATAACTCAATAAAATCACTGACGTTTCGGAGGCAACACAAGTCTCCGTCTTCAGGTGGGAACCGTCACAGCTAAATTTACTGTACTACTAATGTACTACTAACATACATTTGTTATCGCTTTACATTGTATTATCCGTTCTTTTTCATTAAAAACGATAGCTCCATATATGTGTTAACATTCTTTTGAAGCACGCTGTATATAATAGGCGACATTTTGGGTAATGGCCGTTCTTCCTAGCACACAGAGATGCCAGAGAGGACGAGATGGTTCTCTACTGATGTGCTATAAAGAAGAGGCATTCCAGAAACATCGCCTTAATATACACTCGTAGTTTTAAAGCAGTGTTATTGGCGAATGTGTTCAGTTTGTGTTGTTGTTGTTGTTGCAATTTGTACTGCCAACGCGGTATCAACATAGAACTGTTGAACGGTAGCTCAAGGTGGCGACTGTGTCCTCGTGGTGCAGCGATGTGAGTATTTTGCTGCTTTAAAATGCCCACGTGATGATCATAAGTCACTTCGTTGAGCTATCATTTGTGGCCAGCTCGCTTCTGAAAAAATAAGCTCATAGCTCAGTGGGCCTTATCTGGTAAGATAAAAAAAAGTTTAGTTTTATTTGTATGTTTTAAAGAGATTTGTTTATATTCATAAACTTTGCACTCCTATTGCGTTGTACTGTTGTGCAGTATGTTAGGGCAGTTCTAAAACATATACATATTAAATCACTTTTACTATGTGCTGTATTTGAAAAACATACTTTACATAGTTAATGGCACTGGAGGACAATTTACACCCAATCTGAAAACACATTAATAGTCTGTACTTTCATATTGTTATCCTTCATACGTAGTCGCTCCCAAAATTCATGGATTATTTAACACCATAACATTGTTTTTTACTAGTGGGGAATCTCTTGCTTCAGATTTGTTCACTCTTTAGAGGTTGTGTATTTGTAACTTGCAATCACTGAATCTGGCTTAAAACTATTTTATTCAAAATTATAAATGGACTTGGTGATGACGAGAATCAATTATTAAATAGCCCGCTATTCCTAGGGTAACGCCACTAATTTTATAGATTTTTTTGCAACTCGGAACAGTAAAGATAACGAGTACAATACAAAAAACCGTGACACTGCAGCAAGCGTAGAATTCGTTACTTTGATTATCACGCGTATAAAAAAAAAACACAACAATCGTGAGAAGTTTGTGTATTAATGCATTTTCAGCGTGCGCCCAGAAGGGAATCCGTTGTAAGGCTACCCAAAGGTAGTTTGCGAATCAGATTCGAAACGTTCACCAACATTTGCACAAACCTGTTCAGGAGGAGTGTACCGAGATCAAACGAATACATTACATTACAAGCCATTTATCAGTCCAATGTATCTCTTGACTGCATATGTAAGTAAAAACCAGCAAGAAAAGTTCGCGTTCAAGCAAAGAAAACTGTGGTCGTTTTAACAATAGATATGACCAGACTAGCACCCCAGGGTAAACATGGGATCGAACATGTGTTGCCTTGTAGCTGACACCTTGTGAATCATTATTACTAACGATACTTGTTGTTTGGAAATACTTTTAACTTTGGAACACGACTAGCAGCCAGTTATCGATCTTTAGCCAGCGTTTATCAGACTACATCCATCAACACGTGACGTTTTTCAGTCGTTTTGCGCTAACTGCGATACATTTCGAGATTTCCAACTATCGAGGGGTTACATTATTTTTCTAATTCGAATGGTTCCAAGCTTATTTTCTTGGCCACAGCAGTGAATATTCAATAGCCGTCGTGAACTTTAAATAAACGCGTTATCCATATAGCTGGCTGTTGCAACACACGTCTATGACACGGTAGCAGAGTCCCGGTTGTAACAAGGAAATGATTATTCAGCAGCGCAATTCGCGATAACAAGAAGAACCTTGCCCAAATGAGAACGTTACTGGTTGGTAATGGCGTAAAAAAGAAGCCGTAATAAAATAAAATAAAACGTACGTATGTGTGCGCGTGTGTGTGCGACTTACAATTCCAAACTTTTGCTGTTGCACGAAAAGTTGTCCCTCGCGGATGGGTTCGCACATGTTGGCGGCTTTGCGCGCAGCACCACCACCACCACGAGCAGCTGTTGCCAGGCTGTGGCCAGGATTCTGCTGTGCCCTTTGCGTCCGTCCGGTGAGGCCCTCTCTCGCTCTGCGGTGGAGGGAGGGAGCCACCCCGCCTGTGTTATTGAGTGCCCGCTTCCTCCACGCCATCACCCATCGGGCTACCTCTCGTCTTACTGGCGTTTGTTGTGCGTCAATGCCTGCGCCGCTGCACGAAAACAATGTACAACCAAACCGAATAACAATGACGTGCTAGCAACAACACCACCAACAACACAACAACAGCATTCAATGTATATGATTGTGAAATGCAATACGTAAACAAAATAAGTGTGGGCTTGTTGCAGGCTTATTGTGGTATTAACTGAGGCAGGACTAGTGCAGTGCATGGATAATTAAGCTCTTTAACCTGCAACGAGTATGTATTTCTGAAGCGAATTCAAACGTCTACAACAAATTAGACCACTTTTAACATTACAATCAGAATTTGTATTTCTACTGGAGGAATCCGATGATTTCCAGTAGGGGTGAGTAAGAACAGTTACAACAATACAAAAAACACGATGGGAGTGCAAAGTAAAGGAAAAGTAAACAAATAACTTAAAAAGTATGCAAATAAAACGAAACTATTTCCGATTTAAAGCTTTCGTGACTGTAGGGCATATTCTTGGTTCTTTCGGTAAAGTCACGTAGAAGGGAAATAATAAAGTAATAAAAAGATTTTAAAAAATATTTTCGGTAAAGTCACGTAGAAGGGAAATAATAAAAGAATTACAAATATTAAAAAAATATTTTTCATTATTTCCCTTCTACGTGACTTTACCGAAGGAACCAAGTATATGAAACGATTTATATTTTACCAGGTAAAGCCCACTGAGCTATTAGCTTTTTTTAAGGTGCAAGATAACCTCAAATTTTACAAAATAAAAACCACTGTGATGCTATTTTATATTACTAATTATACATATTTTTAAAGTGTGCCTCTCTTGTTAAAGGCGCACTATCACGACGACTCGTTTGTGCAAAAGGCGCAGAAAGTCTGAGATGTCAGTTTGTGGGTTCAGGTGCACAGTCACCGAGCAGCTGGCATTGCAGCGCGAACGTTTCTGTGGGTGGAAAATGCCTTTGCCAGTAATGATGCCCATTTTTAGCATTAAAAACACACTCAATAGCATCCTAAGCCAAAATAAATGTGTCAATTACAATTTTCCAACAAAGACCATCATTATTTCCATTTAAAGCTTTCGTGACTGCAGGGATTAATCTTCTTGGTTCTTTCGGTAAAGTCACGTAGAAGGGAAATAATAAAGTAATAAAAATAAAACATAATAAAATTAAGCAATAATATAATAAAGCAAAACAATTATTTAATTATGTTTTATTTTTTTATTTCCCTTCTACGTGACTTTACCGAAAGAACCAAGAAGACCATCATTATTTTTATAACTTGCCCCATCACCCAGATATTAAACTTTCCCGCACTCTATGATGCATTCAACTTGCACATTACGTTTGTGTAACCGTGCCCTAACAGTTAACGCTTGTTTTCCATTCCACGGCCAATGGAATAACCCATTTATACTCATTATAAATTCTGCAACATACATCAAATCGGGTCTTTTTTTGAAGGCCAATTATAGACCGATACAAGCTGGATGCTAATGAAATGTTTGGGCATTGCAATTTTACATGTACTGTCGTGTAATTTAACACGACTGTGTTCTTTGTGATACGTAAATCATTGACAGCGATCGTGTAACAGCACGACTGCACTGTAATATAAACATTCATGATTTGCATTTATAGAGGGACTTTCCAGCATCGTGCTGAATCGAAAGTCAGACAGCTGCTGCATGGAATATTTTATTAAATGTGTGCACATGGCTCATTCTCATTTGCCGTCTCTCTATGAAGGAATTAATGTCTGTTTCTGCCGGTCCACTCTACAACTTTGCACTGCGCCAGTACCGGAACAAACAGCTGCGGGAGGGTGTGGTTGAGCAGACAGAACGATTTGTCAAAAAGGCAAATGATCCCCGAGTAAAAGAAAGCCCACGTCTGCACCGTTTGTGTACATCTCTCTCCGTAAATCTTCACCCACTCATTTGATTAAACGTCGGTGATAATGCCCCTTTGGCACCACATTTCTCCCCTGTGTGTTGTCACGTAATTTAAAACGAGCATGCCATTCATCAATCGGCCGGAGACAATATTCAAATAATTACAAAATGAACAACGCATGCAAAACACAAATGCAGACGCACACATGACAGTTTGTAGGATGGTTGACAAATAAATGCAAGAACAAATGTGCATCCAGTTACGCAAGATGGCACGGATATCTGATGCAAACTAAAAAGGTTCACATTTGAACGGTCGTATGTGCCATGAATTCATTGCTAAGGACCACTGCAGTGAAGTTGGCCACGTACTATAATCATGGACCTAGTATTAACCCTCTGGTTGTTTCTGGCTCAATAGTTGAGTAGCGTGACGCTCAACAGAGGCTGTCGCGCGCACACGTGGTGGAGCTAAATATGGAGACAGGAAGTTTGGGATGTTGTGGTCTTGTTGGTTGTGCCACGTGACCCAAAATTCCACTTGGTTCATGTTGAGTATGCCCTTTCTATGCAGCAGCATAACAACTGAAAAACAAACATTCAGAACAAGTAAACAAAAACAGCAACCACTAACCTACGACAGCTTAGTCCGTAAACACGATTTTACTGGATAAGGTATACATTTTTTTTATTGTGCAAACGTAAAAAAACATGTTTACTGATAGAAACTTATTCGTGCAAAATACGCTACTATTTTTCAGTACTCAGTGTGTGTAAACAGTTTATTTACACATACGAGAACTCGAAACTCTGAAGGCGATTTACCTGATTGACATGTGCACTCTCAGCCACGCTTTGGCCATCACAAACTAAATACTAAAGGGGCAATCCAGTCTTGTTATCCTCCCCCCTGTTTCTTCCTATTATCCATGATTCACATTATGGACGGCTTCTACTGCTTTGCAGTAAGTGGAGTGGCATGCAAAATGAATCCGATTATCCATATTCATCTGTAGGGTGTTTTTTGTCACAGAAAAAAGGAGTTAATTTGCAGGATTCGCGATGTTTACCCCCCCCCCCCCACATCACTGCAGAACACATTCCTGCGGAGGAAGCTGGTAGTAACTTTGGGTTGCTCGGTCAATGGCCAGGGTCAACGGCGGCGTGGTGTATTCCGCAAATATGCTCGACTGTGAGGGCCGGCACAAGCCGGCGTGAGTAGGTTAAACGTTGAGTTTTATAAGGGCACCACGGGGTGAGCAGCCCCTCCCCACCCAGCCCCACCCCTCCCACCCCCCACCCAGCCCCTCCCCACCATCCCCACCCAGCCCCACCCCACCCTCCCCACCAATCCCCACCCTCCCCACTCTCCCCAACCAGCCCCACCCGCCCCACCCATCGCCCTTCCACACCAAGCCCCTCCCTGCACGACGGACGGACGGACGGACACAATAATCCCCTGTGGGCTGGTGTAACCAGGAGGTTACTACCAGTATAAGTAGAGATGTTGTATGCTTACATTGTTATATTAGAGTATTCACATTACCCAAAGGCGAACTGACCAAGTTTCTTCAAATATAGACTGAAAACTGCCGAATGCACACAAAGTGTTCTGTCACAAATTGGTACAGACATCATGTGGCTGTGTCATTTATTTATTTTATCATTAAAACACACAATATGAAGTTTGCAAATGTTTGAACGTGTTCCGTGAATATATTGCACCGTGTGTGCACCTTCGATTAGCACGGTTGGCTACGTACGGTACGAAAGAAGTTCAACATACATACGAAACACCGTTACAAATGATAATTAGAATACTCAGACCGAGTTAATTTACATGACCAATGTGACATGTAATGTACAGTATAAGGTCATTTGTTTCAAGCGGTAATTTTACTCGTTAAAGAGTATTTTAAATCAAACTAAATACACGGAATCATGCAAACAGAATGGAATTCCATTGCCATGTTGGAATGTCGCGCTGCATGGTCCTGGCACGTGCACGAGTGCTCGACGAGACGAGCTCCACCCCCCGCCAGGACGTTTATTTCTGGGTGCCAACGCGTTGTGGTACTTTTACTATTTTGGGTGACAGAAGCAGTTGAAACCAGACAAATGTAAATAGCATGCAGGAAGCTGCGTTTCTAATACAAGCACGCGACTCATCACTGAGCGGATGCGAAACTGTAATGCCGACATATTACGAGGAGCAGGCGTCTATTTGCAGAAATGTTTTCGGGATCCGTAGCTCGTACATGTTCTTTACAAAGGTCTTGGTGATGTCATGTAATCGCGTGCAGGCTTAATTTTTGAAAAGTATTTATAGGATAGCTATTGTAACGAGACCAAAACTTATTAAATTGTACAAAGGGAACTTCCACGGATGGAAAGGTTATAGGGTAGTTTTTTTTTAATCCCGGGCAGGGAATGAGTGAAATTGTAGGATTAGGATTATTGAAATGGTAATAGTACATGTTTTTTTTATTACAATGTTCAGCTCTGCTGTTCCTTTTCATGGCAATTTACCTGTTTGACGTGTGTAGTTCAATCATGATTTAACCATTCACAACTAAAAAGGCCAAACCGTATTATTTGGGTCTTTTTCGGTAAAGCCACGTAGATAGAAAAAAGAATACAAATATCACGACTTTTCGATCGCAACACAACAAAACAAGCAATCATAATTTATTTTTCACCTGATGACGATTGCTTGTGTCGCGATCAAAACGTCGTGATATTTTTATTATTTTTTCTATCCACGTGGCTTTCCCGAAAGACCCAAAGAATATGAATTCCTGCAGTCACGAAAGCTTTAAGTCAAGATTTAAGGACAAACCAGTTTAACACGTAGACTTTCGCGACCAATATTACCCATAATAGAGGTTTTTTTGGGGTTAAATCGCATAAATATAAATGTGTCGTTTAACCCGCCACCACCCAACACAGCCAATTAGTAAGGTTTGTCAGATAAACAAAACATGCCAATTCGTTACTAGTACAGCACACCGGTGCGTTGGAGAGTAAACCCACAA